TTACTATGATATGAGGTGCAAGATATTAGCCTGAAAACCAAATCTCTGAACCAAAGACCTTGGAAGCATCTTTCATTCTCGTACGCGATCACGATCCAAAAATGAATAGCAAGAATGAACGAATATCTATAAGGGATCCGTCAAAGTTTATCGATGTTACCGATGTTACCAATGTTACCCGTGTTACCAGTGTAACCGATGTTACCGGTGTTACGTTTGTTACTCATGTCACTAGTGCTACCGCTTCTATTGCTGTTGAGTAGTAAAATGATTGGTGATATTTTGATGATTATTTTACTGTTCAACGGCAATAAAAGCGGTAACACTAGTAACTCGAGTAACACGAGTAACACTTGTAACACTGGTAACACTGGTAACACGAGTAACAGGAGTAACACTGGTAACACCGGTAACACTGGTACATCGGTAAACTCTGACGGATCCCTAACCGCTGATATGCCGTATCTTCCATTTTGCGAGTTGACGTTGGAGATTCTCTGTATATTTATTTATTTATTTATCAAATACATCGTAAACGATGCACCACCTCACAAATACAGACAGGTAAATAAATATGGAACGGGGGTGGGAGAAAAAGGCAAGAATGATTTTGAATTTGCTCTCACTTTCGAGTCGTATCCGAATAACAAATCTTATAGAGTTCTTATATAAGTTCAGGAAGAGGAAAAGCTCATGGGATGCTGATAAGGCCGCGAGTGACGTTGTTGTAAGTGTAACTTCTGGGGAAAGTATGTATTTGATGGTGTTTGAAGGTAAATAATGTAGAGTAAATTGGATGGCAATGGTGTTATGAATCAGGTCTCAAAAAATATCAATGGATTTCTTGCACATTATCAGGAGCTTCGAACACATGCATAGCGACCAGCATAAGTAGTATGTATTGCGCTCAAAATAATGAAGTGTTATGAAGTATTACTTGTAATAGGTCATTTTCAAGTACATGATGTACCGTCCATCCATCAATCCATCCATCGAATCGTCCATTCCATCCATCCATCCATCCATCCATATACATACATACATACATACATACATACATGTGTCCGTTGGTTCCTTCACTAACTCCACATTTGAGCAACGAAATGCTGATTGACGTGCGAGTTCAAAGCTTCCAATAATGTGCATTGAGTTGTTTAGATGAAGTACATAAAAATCAATTAGCAGGGTTCTTTAATACAATCGTGAGTAAGTAGTAGTTTCCTTGTTATCGGTATATTGGGAGGTTTTCTTGAACTGTACAATTGAGAGGAGTCAGAATCGACGAGAAAGGAAAAAGGATACGATATGAAAGTAGATGTGAATAAAGAACTATCACTTGCATTTCGTCTCCCGAAACATGCTTTGAAAAATGCAGTAGTAAAGGAACGTAATCATATATATTAGGTATTATATATATATATATTAGGTCGTCCGAAAGTAATGTCGCTTTTTCAAATGAGCGCCACATTTCATGGAATCAAGACTTTCAAGAAATCTTAGGAGCATTCGATGCAGCATTTCATCCTCTTTCTAATGGTCGAAATTCATTGCATAATGTTCAATGAGCCCTCGAGAAATTACCAAAACCTGCGACTCATGCTTTTTGCCATGGTCAAGTTCGGCTATTTTTCTAAACTTTTGAACCTATTCTCCGAAGAAGCACAAGTGGCAATTAGATAGAGCAAACCTTGTAGGACATAAAGCAATTTTTTCTTTTCCTTAGCTTGCTTCTTAGAGTTTCTGGAATCAATTTTTCAATGCCATCAAATCCCATATTTGGTCAACTCAAACCTCACAGAACAACAATCGGCAAGAAACTCGGGTGTGATTCGACACAGCTTTTTTCTCCTCTTTCTACCAGTTGTTTTTTATTTCCGATTCATCAAGTTCTCCGGGATAAAATCATCATAATTCAAGTTTTCCAGGGCGCCCCAGGCTGTGCCCGAATTTTCGAAAGTTGCTAATCTGAAGCGGTAAACGCTCATTTGCTTTGTAAAGTTAGCGTCAAACCATAATCCATCTTTGTAAGTTTCAAAATCCGAAGATTTACTGGTGTTTGATGCATTTATGTCTGAGACGAGCATGCTAAAATTCAATAGTTCTATCAAAAAATCTATACAGAAATTATGACGAGCTCTGAAAAGTAGAAAAAAGTTGTGCTGTTTCCTGTAGGGTTTGCTCTATCCATACATTACTTGTTCTCCTCCTTCCGGCGGTTATTATAAAAACTTTGAAAAATTTTGAAACTTGGCCTTCTTAGAAAGCATGAGTCGCAAATTTCGATAATTTTTCGAGAGGTTATTGGATTTTGTGCAGTAATCATATAACCATTAGAAAGAGAATGAAATGCTGCATCATATACTACCAGAATCTCTTACATATCTTTGTTCCACGAGGTGTGGTGTACGTTTGAAGAAAGCGACATTACTTTCGGAACGACCTGATATATAAGCATTCCAGTGCCAGACATCCAAGTAGTCAACATTAGGTCATTAAACCAAAAAGCTGGAAGTTGCAGAGACCTTTCTGTTCAAAATCAAAAAAATTCTTCAGTGTCTGGTTTCTTTCTTCTGTTGACGCGGCATGACGACAGTAATTCTTCTGAGCAATTTTGAAAAGCGCATGATTTTTCTTTCTAACTTATCTTGTGTCAAAATTTCAATGAATTTAGAGGAACCAACGATTCAAAGACTTAATATGATATTTACCGTTAGTTTTGCCAAAAGGTCCCAATATTTGTGAGCAAAAAAAACGTAACAATGTCGGAAAAATCCCCCTACCTTAGTTTGTACTGCAAATCTATCGCGTCAGCAATGTTTGTTAATGCTGGTGTTTATGATTTATTTACAAACGTTTCAAAAGCTCAGTTTTGCAGGACTATGAAGAAAGACCTTTGGAATAATTTCTTTTGCTGTTGCTGTAACATTTCAGCTTTTGTCTGAGCTTGCTGGCCATGCGTACTCAATTGCCAGCTTTTTCTATAAAGAAAAAGGATGAGACAGGCTTGCTTTTCGATCAGCAATTCTTTGTGCACAAAATTAGAAGTCCGATGGATCTCAGCGCAGTTTCTCTTTGTGCTACGTTCTCCAAAATCGCATAAAGAGCGATGCTTGAAAGCCGCAGTGTACTTCACTAAGTGCGAAAGCTCTTGAGTACAAGAGTTTCTAGAAGCGGACTTATGAAGGACCTTTATTTGACTTAATTTGCGCAGAATTGCAGTGTAGGAAATGACGACTATACATTTCTAAAATATATATAATATATATAACCAAGGCTTGGTTAAATGACCCTAGCTTCAACGCTATGTTTCTTTCGAAACAAGACTAGAATCTGACTATAAATAAGTGTCCTTGCGATACCCACACTTGCAGACAAATCCTGCGCATAAAGAAATTGCCAAAAGACCCCGAACTTGAATGTGTGCGACCTTTTGCGCGCGCAAATCACCGGCACTACAATTGTAGCAAATTTCTCACGTGCAAATGTTGTTGGCAAATGCCGGCACCAGAAGAACACTACATTTACCACCAGGTCTACTAGCCTGTAGCAATGTGGTTGCAAAATAGGGCAAACGAAAAAGGTGTGACATGGAGACGTCAAGATGTCCGCAGTGGCACAAGTCCGCGCGTCAGATCGCACGAATTTTGTAAAATTGTTTTAACAGCGACCAATCGAAACTTCAACCATGTCGATTGTGCTGCAATGTTAGATATGAATTACAGCCAGCATACAGTTTCTGCCAATTATGTACACCTTTTCGCGCAGAAACTACGCATCCGCAACGCAACGGCCTCGCGTGCGAACCCTCAATCGAGGCCAATTTGAATGCCCAAATGCGCCTTATTGCGCTAGTGGAAAAGGGAATACTCGGGTGATATAAAGTGTACATCCCAAATTGCTAGTTTTAAATACGCTCTATATGCTTTCTCAGATAACTATTATAGCCGTACTCTAATGGAATCTTCCCAAATATAACAAAAAGGAAATTTAAAGCATTGTGCACACGATAGGTGCTCCACTCTCAAAATCACTGCCACTTAGAAATGAGGTGCGTTTTTCAACAAATTTATAAGAAGTATGCGAGTCCATTTCGTTAACATGAAGAATGAGTCGCTAAATCTCGTAGCGAGCAATGATAAATTTTCTCACGACCTTAAGATGAAGGAGGGATCGCTCGAGAGCTGGATGTATTCATTATCATTTCTCAGCTTTATTTCTTGCTTTCACTTTCTACAAACCGGATATTTCCACAGCCTATCTTCCGAAGCTATAGAAGATGCATCTACTCGTAGATGACGCGGAACGCGCGAGTTTTTTCTGCATCACATCTAAAATTCCGTTAGTGACGCTATTTCCAGTTCTTTGAGCAGCTAAAGAAAACACACGATGTGTTTTTGATGTTGACATTGGATTTCTAAGGAAATCTGACACTTGCTAAAGGTGTCGGCTTTATTCCCACATTCGTTTTAGCTTTCGTTAAAAAAAAATTGAGTTAATTCCCATGCGAACGCTGAAGAGAAAAAAAAGAAGGAAAAACTTTCGAAAGCTCAAAGCTAATGCCCGTTGCAACCAGGAGACAACTTTTTGTGAAAAGAAGATTATATGAAATCGTCGCATGTAAAAAGTGGGCGCAGTCCAATCGAGATAGTTCGTGTTAAGGAAAGACACAGACGATCAGAGTTACGAAATATGCGGTGATTTGAGAGACGCATGCAGCGTCCGCAGTTGCGCGCTTCTCTAGGTGCGTTGAATCGACTGTATATCCGTTGCTAAGAAAGGAAAACATAGTAAAGAGACTTTTAAGAATAATTTGTGGAATTTCGGAATTTTCTAATGCTTACCTTTCCAATTTATCTACAATGTAGATGTCTTCGTGCACATGTGTCTACAATTACAACTACGCGGTTTCACCGCCTTCCTTTTTAACCCAGTAAAATTTTTAAAATTCAAAATTTGTACTTTGCATGCATGAACCACGAAAAATAAAAATGAAAACTTACCCGTATGTCTGAATTGAGCAGATGTTCAGACTTTCGCCTTGCGACGTCGTCGACAAATTCCATGTTTGCGTCGCTGAAAAATCTCAGTTTCATTTTTGCTCTTCTTGAAACCAGGAACCACTAGAGTCTGGTAGATTTTGTTGTTCATATACAGGGTGTCCCAAAAAATGTATCGAACGTTTGATCGTTGATATCTCTCTTCCCAAGAAGTCTTTTGCCTTGCTTCAGGTACCGTTTTGTAGAGCTGGCTTCAACTTAGATTTGCATTATAGAACGAATCACCTCTCTCTCTTCATTACTTTAGGATTAGGGTAGAAACTTGAAACATATGGTGTCAATGTGGAAAAAGCTGCCGTTTCAAAATTTTTCAAAAAATTGTGAAAACTTGTGTAATAGGGTTTTTATGGACGCTGAGCTCAATACTCAACTATTCACAAGATTGCGAAGCTTTCTAAACGGTGTAATCGCACCTTTTAGGAACATTGAAAAAATGGCCGCTACCTCTTACTTGCCATAACTCTTCAATGAAGCATCATAATAAGTTGGGAACTTTACAGTTATAATCAGCAACTCTAATTAGCCTAGTGTAAAAGCTTTCAGGCTGTTTTGTTTCCTTTCTTAGGCAAAATATGGCCTTTTATTGCTTAAAATCCTTTTTGAAGTTTCTACCGTAATCCTACAGTAATGAAGAGGAATGAGTGATTCATTCTATAATGCAAATCTAAGTTGAAGCCAGCTCTACAGATTGGTACTACCTGAAGCAAGAGAAAAGACTTTTTTAGAAAAGAGATATTAAGGATCCAACGTTCGATACATTTTTTGGGACACCCTGTATATAGCGGTACCGAAACTGAACAACCAAATTCGCGCGTAGGCAAAATAGCTGCGTTGCTAATGCTGGTAGTCTGCGCGCGCAAGTCGCCGGCAATACAGATTAGCTATTATTTCACGCGCAAATTTGGTCGCCCAATCTCGGCACACTATATCAAGCGAAAAATCATTTATACCGTAAATACTTACAGCATTTTGCTGTCGAGATGCGATGCTGCGGTGGCGAATGCGAGAAGCCTGAAACGTTCGAACTGGTACACCTTAGCGTTAGAGAAAGAGTTCAGAACAAAGAACGACAGAAAAAGTACTGATGGCGTGATTTATCACAGAACTTTGAGCAAATTAATGACCCACTGCCTACGCTGCCAATTGTTTATCCTCAACGGGCCTGTTTCTAATTCTACACATTATCCGGAAATTATTCTAGTGCCTCTAGGCGATAAATAAAGAAAATAAACGCAAAAGCAAATTTATGAAAGGACTGATTAAAAGCAGTAAAAAGACTAGAAGGTTTATTATTGAATGTGCGAAAAGGATGAAGAAGTTTAGAGAACATCTGTTCAATGTCAGGATTAGCTTTTTTTTCAAAAGATGGATTTGATTACAAAAAGAACCACCTGGCGAATAAAAACTAAGGTGATCGCAATTTCAGCAACTGCACGCTGCTATACTACGTACTTTGATCAATTGATGACTGCTTAAACATCAAGAAAAAATGGATCGGAAAGCTACAACCGAGAAAAACCATAGGTTTAGAGTTATGCAAGAAAAATACGAATAAATGAATAACCCAACTACTTTCCTCACAATCAGAGCTTCGAAGAGAAGTGGAGACGTACTGTAGGCCAGCCATCGCGCGCAGAGACTGTATGCCATTGCGTTCAACTGAGACAGTACGTGTTTGGAAAGGGCAGCAGCCGTTAAAGGCAGCGTCCACCCAGAATTTGGCCCCCCCATGTTTTTGCCATTTTGGGGCCTTTCCGTGACCCTGATTACAGTTCCGAACTTTAAACTCTCCAAAATGCACAAAAAGCCCGATTTCTGGGGACCCTGTCTTGAGGGCGCGGACGAGTTTCAGATCGCTCTTCCCTGTCGGCAGGCCAGCGGGAGGGAGCTGCAACTTCATGGGTACAGTTGCAACAGTGTACAGCTCCTGCTCACTATCATGTGAATACGTGTCAGGAGTGTGAATACGTGTCAGGAGGCATCCTGACTGGGCCAGGAACTTCTAGGCCCCTTATCTCCATTCAGAGACAATAATAGAAGACCGGACCAACGCAGATGCCCCTTTTCTGGGGCCTACATTCAGGATCGACACTAATCGGAGGGGGTTAGGTTTAGCCTGGACACTGCCTTTAAGGTGGATGAGAGTGTGCGCTGATAAGAGAGACGCTGAGAACGCAATTTACAAAATTAACCAAAAAGAGAATGCTTTATCTAAGTAAAACAGCTCTTTTTTGGATCAATATTATTTGTTTTTGGCAGATTATTTTCACTAATTAGAAGCACACCGTAAATAAAATCCCGCACTCTACGCATGCAGACTCAACAATGGCGAAATCGTTGCAAGCGTATTTTTTGCGCTGAATGTAAAATCGTAGTTAGCAATCAACCCAATAGTGTATGGTATTTTGAGGATGAATAATGTGAGGAGAACAAGGAAATATGTAATAGTGGACATAATGACTTCACTTTGGCTTGGAAATCATGCGTAAGTAGCATACGATTTCATTTGAGTCAACGGGTTTGGCGGCTGGAGGGGGGGGGGGGGGTTCGAGGCTTAATCAAGGCTAGGGAATGATGAGAGAGCATGGGCGCGAGAGAGACGCAGACTAAGTCGCGGGTGCGAGCGGTCGTCTTCCAGCCGCCCATCTCCTCAAATCAAAGGGTAAGAAGTCTTTGATGATCAGTTCTTATCGGACTATGCAAATGCACCAAACAAAATAGATACTTTTCAATTCTAAATTTTATTCGCAAAATAAACTTTGATGAAGCATAACAAATCCCCATTTGAGGTGCATAAAAACCTACCATTAAGGCTTTGCTGTCAAAATATAAGTTTCCCAGTCGAATTTTCTCAAGATGCTCCTTTTCCTTCTTTTTCTGATGTACATATTTGATGTCCTAACTAGCATTTTCTTACATATGGTACGGTATATGCCTTTTGAAATGCATACAAAATAAACAAAATAGATGAGAGGTATGCATCTGCGCGATATTTGAAACTCTGCATACAAAGAACAAGTATTAAATTTGAAGTCAGCTTGATTATTCTACAGTATTCTACTAGGTTCAAAAGAAAATGTTGTGTTCCGTGAATTCCAATTAGATCAGTAAAGATTTCAGATTTCTCAGTAAGACTAATTTGCACAAAATATATTCTGTTACCGTATTCAAGATTATGAGATTTATAAAGACGTACAAATGGGAAGAAATCATTTCTAAGAAGAAATTCGGTATCAGAGGGAGAGAAACTAAGCCGCAAATAGCAAACATTACTCCTAGCGAAAAAAGTCTCAAAACGATAAACCTATGAGCAGTGACGATTCCTTCCCACCCCCTACCGAGAATAATTTGCAATTTTGAAGATGGTTTACTTGGCTTATACCAAAATGCACTTGACTTTTTGCATGAAAATAGAAGAATTCTTATATTTCGAATGTTGAGCTCTGTACAGAATATTAAATATCTGACGGCTGCGTTTCAAATTCTAAAAGTCAATAGGCCACTGCGCCAAAAGATTTGAGAAATACCCCCCCCCCCCCCTAACTCGTAACGGGTAATTGAAGATATAAGAAATTTTTGTCGCTCCTCCCTATCCCCCCCCCTCCTCTCTAAGCTCACAATAAGCGATTCACCTAGAGACTGATTTGCAGTGAAAGAAGAACTTTACGGACTAGTTAACCAATCTAAAGGTGCTAAATTTGCAAGAGCATTCGTTGCGGGAGCCGCGCGGTTTCGCGCAAATTCACCTTTTGTAAATAGGCACAGCGATTCTTTGTATATAGATTTGTACAGGCACGACGATTCTTTGTATATAGACTGAATAGGCACAACAATTCTTTGCATATAGATGGATAGACTAGTTTGCTAATTTTTATAAGAAAAAAGGTATTACAAAACCTAATGCTATTCATCATTATGGAATTCATAAGTGACATTATTATGGAATTTTTGAATGAAAATAAACGTTATGAATGAGCAATGGCTGTAAGAAATTGATTTTCTGAGGGTTACGTATGAACGCGAAATCTAAACCTCATTGATTTTGGCTCGATTTGTTTATAAGAAAATGACAAGATGAAGCTGATTGTTTATACGATGTCGTTCACGATGTGGCCTTTTTCGCGCAATTAGGACGTCGGCTTTGGAACAAAAGACAGGAAACCTCAACGAGCTGCAAAATGGGTTGGCTCCTCGGGGCGGGCCTTCGAATGAGAAAGCAGTGAAGAAGAACTACCGAACCAGTGTACGAATACCTAAGTAGGTGGGTAGTCGGCTAAAAACTCTTTTTGAGAGCTAATGAAGCCAGTATTGGTGATGAATCGTAAATAATAACAAGTTGGCAGCAATCAATCATCATTGTGGTTTTGGTGAAGTCTGCAGCTAACCATAAAGACGTGAAGAGCAACAAAAGTTAACAAAGAGCGGTTTTAAAAGGGATTAGCGAGCAAACGTGAGAGATTTAATGGCAGAATTCATTTGGGCAGCTTTGCACGTAGAAGTGTAACGGAGTAAGGACAGAATCATTTCCTTAGACGAACTTTTTTCTAAGCCCTCCCCGAGATCCTTCAGAGGATAGTGGCCTAGAATAATTACAAAAAATCGAAAAGTATGAAACTTATATTACATTTTGAGGTCAATTTTGGCGGAAGAATTCTGTATGATTTGAATGATTTTCTCGTTTTTTTCATAGTATTGTTTCCTGTGACTTTAATTGATCGAATTCTTTCATATGAATGTTTTTATCTTATTATTCTTATTACTAACTTACTTTGTGGGTTTATTTACTGATTTATTTATTTATTCAATACATTGCTATAATGAAATGTGCTAGATAGTATGAAGACGAGGTTTAGAATAATTGAAAAAATTGTAGAAAAGTTGTAAAAATTATATTTTCAAGTCTGTTATTTTGGTGAAAGGTCCTATGTATAGTAGATTAAATAATTTTCCAAATTTTTTTCTCATAGCATTGTTTCCTAGGATTTTAGTTGGTCGCAGTTTTTCATACGGATGTTTTCATTATATTGCTTCTGTTTTCGATGTTGATGGATTTTCGTTTCTATTTCTGTTTATGTGTATTCAAGATGCGCCAAAACAACCCCAAAGAAAATACTCAAACAAAACAAAGATAACAAAAAAATTAGATTTTTGTAATCAGATATGTTGTATCTGAACAGTATGAATGGATCTGTTGACATTCATAGATAGAAGATATGATATTGTATAATTGTTATAACCATTTGCAACGAGAGTTTCTATAAGCTCCGAGTTTTTTTTTTTGCGCGAAATCGGTTGAATATAACATGTTTGCTATCTTAAGAATTCCGTATACTAACTAGGGGAGGACCCAGTGTCGAAATCGGCTTTACAAATGAATATAAATCATTTTGAAGAGCATCAAACGCTAATTCCAAAAATGTTTTTGTTTTTGCCTAGCGGCTCTAGGACTGAGTTATGAGTGTTTTTGAAGCGAAAAATGATAGCAGAATCCAGCTAAAATCAACGGTTATAGTCCAGCGCTTGAACAGAAGGAGTTTTGAGTACAAGTATCTTGGAGAAAATGTTTATATGCTTAGCGTGGTCTAATATTCAACGCTGAGCATTTGCGCAATCTTATGCGAATTTCCTGTCGCGCGTTCCATTTTTTGAGAAAAAAACACGCTCATAACTCAGCTTCTAGAGACCCTTGCAGGTAACAAAAAAGTTTTGAAATCAGCGTTTGATGCTCTTCAGTTAGACTATTTCATGTGGAAAGCCAATTTCGACTTCGGGTCCTCCTCCTCGGTAAGTGCCTTTTTGGTATTAAGTGAGATACTAGGTGAAGAATGTATGGATCTTCTGACGTCAAAGTTGAGAGAACTAGTTTTGATATACCGAGTGTCCCAAAAATGTGCACACTGTTTAGTCGTTAATAACTCGCTTGCTTCGATGTCCCTAGCCCGAACTCTAGGTACCATTCTGCAGAGCGAGGTGCAACTTACAAGGGATGGATACTTGCTCAAAGTGGCTTTTCGATATATTTATACTATCTTATAGAGCATTCCCTCATCTGCAAAGCGCTCTGGAACGAGAGTTGTGGAAATTTTCTGAGATAAAAATTCAATGATTCAACTGAGGTGAAAACAAGTGCTGAGATCTTTTCGGCACTTGAAGGGAGTAATAACTGATATGAATTTGTATGATTAAAGATATTGATTGCATGAAAGGCCTTAGTAATAATCACGGCCCCATTGAGCTCGCGGATCAAAGTTCTGAATGATTTTAGTGTAGCCACGCTTTCGAATTTTTGCATCAAAAAAATTCTCATAACTTCCCTCCCAGAAGAGCTTTGCAAATAGTTTAAGCAGATTTGAAATCAGGTTTTATGCTCTATAAGACAGTCATTTCGTATGGAAACGCCACTTCGACCAAGTATCCTCCCTTTGTTAGATGTACAGTATGAAGCAAAACTCCGATCTCTTTTTGCTTATTGTAGGATTACGGTATAAATTTTCAGCACACAGCGCCATTGTGAATTAGGCCGTTCAATAAAATTTGAAAAACTCTGGAAATTTCTATAACAGGGTTTTTGAACATGCTGATTTCATTGGGCAACTTTTTACAAAAATTTTGGCCTTCCCAGAGCTGTAATCACATTTTTAAAGAACATTAGAAGAAAGTTATCACAGTTTTCCTAAAATAACTTATAAAGGAAGTATGGTGTGGTGTGCGAACTGCATATCTGTAATCAGCGGCCGTAACTAGCCTAGTATAAAAGTTTTCGGCTCGTTTGGTTTCCTTTCCGGGGCGAAATGCGACTCTCATGGCTTAAAACTCTCTCCAAAGTTCCTACCGTATTACTACAGTAACGAAGGGAGATGGGAGTTTTGCTTACACTGTAAATCTAAGTTGAAGCGAGCTCTACAGAATGGTACCTAGAGATTGGCGAAAGACATCGAAGCAAGCGAGTTATTAACAATCAAACAGTGTGTGCACATTTTTTGGGACACCTTAAATAAATTTGTTATTGAATTGCTTCAAAATCTTCAATACTCAAATTGAGGTAATCACAATGTTCACATATGTAGGATCACTACTAGTTTTTACAAGTTTGTAGTTAAAAACTGTTTAGCCATTTATCTATACCGGTCAAGCCTGTGTAAACCATGTACCAACCAAACAAAGGTACTTTTTTTGAATAAAGTTTTCATATTCCTACCAGGAATGTAGAATCAGCAAACAGCGGGCTAAAATTCCCACAATAACGAACACCAACTTTTCATTTTGAAATGTGATGCTGAAGTGACAGAACCATCGTTGACAGCATGTTTCTCAAGAAAAAACTGAAGAACATGCTGTAGCTGCAAACTAGTCAACAGAGGATGAATAGAGGTAAGGATAAGAAATTTGGGAATTATTAAAAGCTTGTTAGAATGTGCGCAGTGCAGTGTGAAAGTATGAACCTTAAGTTTGCAGACATGTACCATAAAAGGAAGAAGGAGCTTCCAAGAAGTTGGCCGAATTCAAATGGAGGCGGAGGGGGGGGGGGGGGGGAGAGAGTCCAGAAAACCATTGTAATCGCCCAGACTTGGGAATCACATCAGTCGACAATATTTTAACAAATAAATCATGTAACAAAACAGATACCTTCAATTTCCAAGCAGAAAGATTTAATATCTGCTCCAAGACGAAGGCGGTCGCCCATATAGGTTGAAAGCGCGCGCGCGGGCAAGTGTCAACCATAGGGCGCGCGCTCGCTCGGTCAGCGGTCATCCACGCGAGCGTGCGCGCGACCCGTGGTTGACAATCGCCCGCGCGCCACGTGCGCGTCAGCCTTGCATGCTTTCAACCTATTTGGGCGACCGCCTTCGTCATGGAGGAGATATTACTCATTCCTCCTTTAACAGCCTTATTCATATAGCCTCACCCCACCAGTCGGTCGGTGGACGAATTCGAATTCGAACTGAAGCAGGCAGGTCGCGGCAGAGCACGGCACCTTAGTTCTCCGTTCAAATTCACGCATTCACTTAGCGTATTTCTTCGCCATTGCTTAGCAGCTTTTGTATTGTTACAACTTTTTTGACCTATATTGAGTTTTTGTAATTGCTGAGCGTTGTCTCCTGCCGCGCTCTGCCGTGACAGGCCTGCTCCAATTCAAATTTGAATTCGTCCACCGACCGACTAGTGGGGTGAGGGTGACTATAACAAAGAAGCTATTCATATATGCTGAAACACTCAAGATTGGACATATAGGCGACTCGTCGCACGCACAGACTGGTCGCTATTGCATCCAACCAAGGTAGTTCGTGTCTAAGAGAGACAGCAGACGGGAAGAGGATCAAACAACGCCGACACCGTCCGTATTGACGCCCTGTCTATGCGTACAACAAATCGCCTATAAAACACCTTCCGACAAACTTTCGTGATAAAATTTTAAAGCTGCAAGACTATCCACTTTGAAGGAATATAACGATAAATTCCTTTGCTGTAGATTTGTTTGCCTCAGTCTTGCTTTACAAACAGCCTTCTATTTACACATTTAAACTCAAACACAAGGTAGTTTGAAACCAATAATATTTTGAACGGTCTTCATAAAATAATAAAAAGTAACAAATGTAACTCCGAATTCTTACGATAGTTCTACTTGACGTGGGTTAACTATTACTTTATCACTTCTACTTAGCAAAATAAGAGCGTTTAACCCAAAGGATTCAAACATTAGGCTTCGTTCCTTACTGAGAGGTTCCGGGACGGAACTATAGATTCAAACCGTCTAAGGGAAAGAAAAAACAGGTTGAGAACGAAATTACCTTTTCTTATATCAAACGTACAAAAGCATAATAGCCTCCATATAGGAATTGCTTGCTTTCAGAAAAATAATGCTTCCGAATGTTCAAATAACGCTACCTAGTTTATGACCGAATAATGTCATAACTCTGGCTTTATAGTGTTCCATTGCTAGGCAGCATAGCTTTAGCCCCAACCAAATGACCCGTTTTGATGGAGACAATGAGGTGAGTAGTTGGCGAAAGTTAGCAAAGGACCAACAAGCAGAGCCTAGTAATAATCTGAATGCTTCAATTCTCCGCTGTGGAAGAGGACTTGCCTGCAAATTTTACACCATTTATCATTGTCACAAGTGTGAAGAAGTGAAGAAGATTTTGTCTGACTGTTAAGCACAAAGGAACAGCTGTTTTGATGTTAGGAAGTGGGAAAATTCTCTTTACACTACAGCACCTTAGATAAAAAGAAAAATCGTATGGAAGCACATACCATCTATCAGATCTCCCCTCGCTCCTCACGTCGTTTACTTATATCCATAAAAAAGTATGATCTATGTAAAAATCTTCAATTATTCTACATAAAGAATTACTATTTTCCCGTCGTTCTTCTTTATGAAAAATGCGGATGCATAAAATCCTCGTCATTGGCCCAAAAAAGCTTTCTGTCGAAGACTAAAAACAATTCGTAAATCCGGATGGTATGGAAAAAAATTCTAAACGTTAACAGTGGTTTCACAACTCATTTTAGAAAGCACTGAATATGTTACGAAGTATTAATGGGGGATAAGTAAATGGCCTGCAAAATTATTAGAAATATGAATAAAAATAATAAAATTAAAAAAAATAACAAAATATGAATACATACAAATCAATGTAAATATTATAAGTGACTTTGCCTTGCCTTGCCAAGAAAAAAGTTTCATAAATATAAAAATTTGAATTAGCTTTGTAAATTTTTCAGGAACCGGAGCCTCTTCTTCGGAAATTTTAGGGTTGCAATTTTCAAAAAAATTCTTTTAAGAAATCTTAGTAGATGCTGTTGTAGCTGAAGCTAAGATCGTTAAACAGCTTTTTCCTCTTAAAAAATTTTTCCAGTTCAAGTTTTTGAAATTTAAAAAACAGTCATCATCTCCAAAAGAATTTCGACCGCCAATGAGAAATGCTGGACTTCAAAATTAAATCGAAATTGTTAGATCTGCTAGAAATTCACATAAATTCACACAAAGAGCTTTCTTCTATTTTCCAGCGGGAATGAGATGTCAGGAGAGTGGATTAACAGCCATTGTGACCGCAATAGCAGAACATTCTGGACCATTAACCAGAAATTGCTTATCTTGAACAGCACTTCCATTGGGATTCCCATATTTAAGATGGCTCTGGAATGAAGAAAAATTGAATTTTGATGCTTGGAGGATCTGTTATAGGGTTCAACAATTGACTTTTGCATTGAAACTTTAAGAACAAAACGTCTGCAGAAGCAGTCATTACCATTAACTCAGATTCATATCAGAGCAGCAAAAAATCTCATCAAAATCAATAATTATAAAAATCGGGAAGGATACCAACTTGTGTTGGCCATTGAAGACGGGATGTACATCGCTAGATGCGTCTTTGAACGCTGACACCAAATCTACTTTTTATTTGCGAAACGACTTTCCGAAGGAAGCTGTGAGCCTTTAAATGTCCAAATTTGTCAAGCATTAAGCGATCTAAAATTGGCGAAAAACTGTACAAACATATCTGGAAGTAGGTAATCCATTTTGATCAAGTATATTGTCTGAAAAGAGAAACAAAGCTGGTGGAAATCCGTATAAGTTTGCTCTAGAGCTTTTCGTATTAACACGTTTCGGACCGCGAAATCGCGCGCGGCGAAAAAGAGGGTACTTTCAGCCGTTAGCCAACAAAGGGACCTTATTTCCCAGACTGTGTGCTACATCTGTAATCAGCATGTCAGAAAAGATCGATACCCAAAGATCTGAATGAATTCGAATTGTTTGAATTTTTCGCTTGAGAAGGACTTCCGTGCTTTCTTGAAAGATAGAAACAAGAACTCAGTTCTACTGTATCCAAAAATGTCTCTGCTGTACACGATACACATCATTATTGAAACTACGGTTTTTCTCATTGAATTTGAAGCAAAGAAAAGTTGCGATGTCTCATTCGCGTTGCCGCACTTCGTTGCAACTGTTGCTCGATTTGTCCTCATATCTCCCAAACAAATATCGGCGGCACAGCTCTACAGAGTTATTTGAAAAGTAGGAGCCTGGCCTTTGACTTGATAACCTTGGATAAAAAGAAAACCTCCTGTAAAGTTAAAAAGATTCTTGAAAGCCGCGTGCTGCACCATGTGCAGCACCGGTCCGAAACGTGTTAAGCCACTCAATGCTTGGCAAATGTGGACATTCAAACGCTTATAACATGGTTCGGAGAGTTGTTCAGCGAAAATGAAAAGCAGGTTTGGAATCAGCGTTTAGAGACGCGTTTAATAATATACATCTCCTCTTCAGTCGCCAACTTATGTTGGTATCCTTCCCTTTCAAGCTCTAAGACAAAAGCAGAAAGAGAAAATATAAAAAATGATTCGATCTTGTCGACAAAAATTGCTAAGAAAAACTTTGGATGGAACCCGGAAATGGAAAGGTGGGCAGCCTACGACATAAACGTAGACAAGCAATAATTTCAGATCTTCCTGCGCATATATCAGTACGAAAAATAACGATTTCCGTCATTTCCGATTCATATATCAAGACAAAAGGCATATGTCATTAGCACAATGATGAGTAAATTACTATAGCTACAGCCAAACGTATTCTGGAATTTCCCCGGAAATTCTCTTCACCCTCTATTCAAGATTTACGCACTCTAAGAGACCACGATGCGGAATAAACAAGGTAACAAAATCTCTTCTGAACAGGTGGAGAGGACCAATCGCTGCGGGAAAATGAGACAAATGTGACGGAAATGTCAGAGTATCAAGTTTTGCCGCGTTACACAGGTCCATATCGTTGTTCCTGCCAGAGATTTGACATGTATAACAGGTGCGGGCCAGGTTAAAACCGAATGAGCTGGTAAAATGAACATTGGATGGGTGTAGGACGGTTCGCACGACCGTAATGCTTTCCACACAAGACCACCGCCGCGCGCGACACACCCTGCGGCGGCTTTTGCCTAAGCATAACAGGGGGAGGAAAGATTTGTGGCGTGCATTACATGTTAAGACAAGTCAAAATCAGGGAGACGCTGGAGACCGCCCGTGCGAAAAGACCGTCTTCCACATTGGATTCCATACTTTTATAGACCTTTGTATTTGGTTCCAGTTAAGTCATGTTCTGACCAGTATCAGGGCTCGGCACGAGGTAGCTAGTTGAAAATGCAAAAAACGAAGTCCCCCTTGAATTTTGCGAATTTTTACAAAGTCCCCTTCCACCTTAGACCATAATCCCTAGAAAATCTCCAAAAAACGAAACGTCGACCAAAAAAAACGTCGCAATTTCTTGTCTTTTCGGCCGCAGAAACGAAACCCTTTCTGCTTTTTGTCCCAAAAACGATATCCAGTAAGCCACCTGTGCCGAGCCCTGCCCAGTATATTCTGCACTGATTTCAATATGTGCTCAAGATTTTGTACGATAAGTTGTAAGATCGTTGTCAGCTTATCAGTGCAAGATAAGGGACCAAGATTTAGAACGTGTAATTCACTCAAGATTGAAGTTTGAACTTTCAAACACATCAACGGACAGCTTAAAAGACATTGATTATAATTATGTAAACAAAATTTTTCTGAATTAATACTGAGGTAGTTATATCAATGCGGCGATTTCGCCGTAAAAAGTTGCCGTTTATTGCGCCCTGCGGCACATAAAAAATTGACTTTCTCGACTTTTGAATATGCCGTCGGATAGAGAAAGCTGAAACAAATATAAGTATGAAAATCAGAAAGAATAGTTTTGTAGAAAATTCCGATGCGGCACTTCCCTTGTAACATAGTGTTTATTCCCGTACGGCACAAAAAACTGTAAATTTTTCGGTTTCAAACCTAACACATGCATCGGGCAGTGTTGATTTCAAAAACTCAAACCAGAGCTCGAGGAGTAACATGAATAAAGTTATAGCAATGCGGCGCTTCTGGCGCATTCTTGCGTTTAGAGCGCAGTATTTAAAAGCGGCACTGAAGGTGCTGTACAAGTTACTCAAAGATATATACAGTTGTAACCATCTCGATTTGAATATTGAAACCGTAATCAATAGAATATAGGATAAGACCGGTTATTTCAACTTTCATGTTAAATGATCAAACGACCCACATCGAATATAAAAAACGCAACAATACGACCAGAATATCTACACAATAGCTCGGAAAGTGCCATTTTACCGCTTCTCTGCTAAGAATCTTTTGACGCTTGGATGTGTACCCCCTGATTCAAGTGACTTGGCGGCTGGAGGGCTGGACCTAGTTAAGGCTAGATAATGATCAGAGAGCATGCGCGCGAGGGAGACCCAGACTGCATCGCGGGCGCGAGCGGCCTTAGTTAGGTCACTTCCAGCCGCCAAGCCAGTTGAATAAGAGGCTAACAAGTGGTAATGTAATCTATACAATATTATCCAATGTCTAATGCCTACGTAGGAATATATTTCAAATTTTAAATAAGTAGTCTGATTACAAATCTAACGAAATTTGGCAAACAGCTACAATTAAATTGAACTAGTTTATTCAAGTAATTCTCAACTCATTTAGGACACAATGAATGTTGAAATCTAATTGTAAAGAAATGAGTTTTTCTTCAAACATTTCATACAACATTTCTCATCGACAAAAACTCCGTTTATAGGAAGAGGCGGAAGCAGGTTTTCAGAAATTCCTGTATATCAAATGAAAAGCTTAGACAAGTTTGGATTTTTCCTTGATGATTCATTTGGCAGACAATTATTTAGACCTGGTTTTGCTCTGTTCTACGAATGTGATGTCTGTGCAGTTGCTAGGACAGAGACCATTATGTTGATTAAACTGAGAATTTTAAATAACCATCCAATATTCCTTGTGGAAGTTCTGTCTATTCTGCAAAGACTTGAGCGGAAATTATAATTGAGGCGACGATATACTCAAGAGATCTTGATATATTTCTTTATTGGATATGCAAACAACCCGATGCCAAATAAATAACGACACGACGATAATTTATTGGTATCTGTGAAGGAGGCAATCAGAAGTGCAGCGTGCATAACGAAAACATGAATATGAAAAGTAGAGTCTATTAGAAAAGTCTATTAGAAATATGATAGGAGCGCTTAAAATTTTGTGAATTTGAATGAAGTGGAAACTACGTGCGGCGCTGAAGTTCCGAGTTTTCCCAAAGACAGAAAATTGAATTCTCTTTCATAATCGCTTGGGAAAGGTTCGACACTCGTTGCCATGTGAAGAGCAGACAGCGAAAAAAGTTACTCTTCAGAATAGAAATGAAGTTTTTATTTTTGGGGAGCGTACAGAGGGTGCGAGCTTAGCAACTAATAAGAAGAAATTAAAAGTTATCTATCCCTGCATGTAGAATTGGTGCAAATAATCAGACTGCCACGTTGGTTCCCACACCTACAAAAAGCAAAAAAAGCAAAAAGTCAACAAATTTAGCCACTTTGTGTACCCTTTGAACGAGATTGGCGGCTGGAGGGCGACCGTTCGCGCCTGCGCAGTCTGCGTCTATCTCGCGAAAGTGCTCTCTGATCATTCTCTAGCCTTAATTAGGTCACCAAGCCTCGAATTTCAGCCGCCAATCCTGATGGATCAAAAGGTGTACACACTGGATGGGCGGTTCATGGCGCAGAGACAAAGCGATTAAGATAGTTTAGGAGAGGAGAGACAGCAGACAGTTAGAGGAACGAAAGAGTGTTTAATCTTAGAAACGCCGACAGCGTACGCAATCACGTCCTGTCTCTGCGTACGATGAATCCCTACACTTCATTATCATTGTGGCTTTATTTGAAGGGGCACGGACTCTCCATTAGTGCAATGATTTTCAAAAAAAAATATTTGAGCGGGTGTATTCATGCAGCTTTGAATCTGAAGCACAACATTTTTCAAAGAATATTGACATCAAATATCTAAAGCTCACTGACCCTCCTCCGATCCCTCCCCCCCCCCCCTCTATTGAGATATAAAGAAAATAATAGCCCATTGGAGCAGCCGCGTATGGAAAATACTCAAAGCACTTATGAATACATTGTTAGCGAAAGCTAGAGCTATTACAAGATTCGAAGGCATTTTGCAGCGTTTAAGTATTGGCTAACGGCACTAATAGGGAATACGAAAGTGTGGTCAACTAACTCCAAAAACCTCAGTACAATCAAAAGAATTTTTTGATAATTATTCAAATTCTGGTTTGGTCTGGTCGATTTTGTGAAAATGGTGTTACTTTTGAGTTGAAAAATAATTTACTCTCAAAATAGAGGAAGCAGAAAAGAAATAGATCAAATGTCTATTCAATGTGTAGTAATGTAATTCAGAATTAGTTTCTCAGGGAAACAAATCCGGTCCAAGAGTACATGTCACTAATGAGGAGGAAAGCTCCAATATCTATAGTACCTACATTCCTGAAATGTGCCGAACGTTGCGCATCTATCTTCTTCGGAATAACAAATATCCACTTATGGCAAGTAGAGCAAGCTATGCATATTTCGGGAGAACGGTATTAATTAATAGTCATACGAAAGGTGAAAAATGGCCGGTAGAGAGGCGAAATACTGAAGATCTTCAGACATGCGACAAAGTCATTTGAGAGCCCGAGGGAGGAGGAGGCGGGCAAATTCTAGCAAAGCAAGGAGGGGAAATGCACCGAAGAAATAGTGTGTCCAATTTCAAACTTTGTAGTTTCTCGAGATCGGCTTTCAGTAGACTGGGATATTTACATATGCGCTTTCGAATTGGTAATGCAATACAAAGACATGATAGCCTGCTATTTTTTGAGCTGTAATTTAGCAACCTTTTTGTAGCTTTACAATATTATCAGAGACTACCTTCGATTCGGAACTGATAAAAGAAATGAATGGCATTCCTATACTGGTTTGACTGGGATCGTTGTGAATATGCGACAAACATGTAGGAAAAAAAGTTTGTGCTATTTTGCATGCCTCTCCAGCTAGAGACTGAAGGAAATGAGTAGGCGGCAGACATGGTCCTGGCACGACAAGCTACAGCGGTAGACGCAGGACGTTGGCAATGCTGACGATAATGTGCTGATCCTATTTTCAAACAAATTATAGCTTACTGTTGAGTCAAAGCTGAGGAACGACCGACAGAGGATGATGTGGGACCCGCTTCCAAAGTTATATTTTGCATACAATTCATCAAGCCCTTTCAGACATCAAAGCTGCACTGGCCATGGTTACGCCAGTTTTGTATTTACTTGTTTGTACCACTGACATCATTTACGGGCAATTCAATTCGTAGGTAATGTTTGAGACTCAGACACTCAATAAATTCTAAAACGAAAATTGATTCCAAATTTTAGATAGGTGAAAGGAACATCGCAACAATACAGAACACATAATTACCAATCAAATTCTTCAATAATCGCGGCGTACTCAAATAGTGGTAGTATAGTCAAACAACGAAAGCTGTTTGAGTTGAGTAAAACACTCAACAACTGCGAGAATCAAATAAGAAATCTAAATCCAAATCTATCTGAAACTCAATTTTTGTGGTCCAACATCAGTCCATCATATTCTGATTATTCGTATATCATTGAACCGATTAACCAACTTATGTCGAAAGTAGCTCTCTCCAAAAATCAAAAATTCACGACTGCTCAAGAATTGTATATACACTGCAGATGGAGTAAATGTTGATTGGCGCTAGTAGATGTTCATGCGCCGCTACTCACGCTTTTCATTTTTCTCTCATCTGTAAGTGTTACTTTGTATCTCCTATTAATGAACGGATAAACCATCAAGTACATTTCTTAGTAATAGAATTTGTTTGAAGGGTTCATGTACGCTAAAAGCGCATGCAATGCA